CTATTTTATGTTGTTAGCCGCCTAGAGTGGTCCTAACCCGACCAGATAGGCGGGATATTAAATAAATAAATAAATAAATAAATAAATAAATAAATAAATAAATAAATAAATATTTGCGATGATCGGTTCCCTGCTTCGGGGATCGATTGTTCGCAAAACGATTATTTTTAAACAGCTGATCGGCGGTTTCAAAATGGCCACCGGGTAAATAAAATGGCTTCCCGCTGTGTTTAGGGACAGATTCCTCGCTATACAGGCAGCGAAAATGGTCGCTGTATGGAGGAACTTCGCTGGATGGTGAGTTTTAAGCCCATTGGAACATATTGAAAGGTTTTCAATGCATTTATTGTTCGCAAAACGATTATTTTTAAACAGCTGATCGGCGGTTTCAAAATGGCCACCGGGTAAATAAAATGGCTTCCCGCTGTGTTTAGGGACAGATTCCTCGCTATACAGGCAGCGAAAATGGTCGCTGTATGGAGGAACTTCGCTGGATGGTGAGTTTTAAGCCCATTGGAACATATTGAAAGGTTTTCAATGCATTTCAATGGGCTTTTTATTTTCACTTTACGATGTTTTTGCTTAACAGCGATTTTCCTGGAATGGATTATCGCTGTTAAGCGAGGCACCACTGTAATTTAGGACCTTGTACATGAAACATTTTGAACTTTCGTTGACCCTTTTAATTAACTCAGGACATGGCGTAGAAAACAAGGCTGTTTTTAAATAAAGTATCATCCTCTGCACATATGGCAAAACAGCTATAAAAACACTTTTTTACACCTCAAAGCATTTATAAAGATTGCAACATCTTGCTTTTGGTGGAAACCAGACAGAACTACTGAGGGTCAGTAGGCTGCAGTGATTAGTGTCGGACTTGGGATGGGAAGACTTGGGTTCAAATCCCCACTGAGATATAAAACTCACTGGGTGGTCCTGGGCCGGCCACTCACACTTTCACCTTGAGGTATCCCTGCAGCACTGTTGGGAAGACAAAGTGAGGGGAACCATTTAAGTCACCTTCAGCTCATTGGGAGGCAGACTATAAACATGACAGCCACGGAGTGAATTGCTTGGTTAGGGTGCCCCATCAAACCGATGATCCAGGTCTTATATTTCAGCACGTCTGTATGAGAAAGAATTCCAGCAAACCCACATTTCTGCCCCGCCTTCCCTGACTAGCAGCTGCGCCTGCCAGAATTTCCAGTTCTTCGCCATTACCAACCAGGAAGGAGCCCTGCCCTCTTGTGCCTCTGAACGCCCAGGGCTGGACAGAGCTTCCCACGGGTGTGTCCAAGCCACTCTCCAGCCAAGGCGTCTGAGGGAAGGGCTCTCAGCCACGACGACCCTCCTGAAGCTTGCCTTCTCTTAGCAGGGTACTCTCGGGCTTCCCTGAGGCTTCCCTGCTCGCTAGCCGAGGAGCCCAGGAGACCTAGATATGCCCGGATAGCTCAGTGGTTGAGGCATCCGACTGCCGAGCCGGAGGTTGCCAGTTCGATTCCCCCACTGCGCCTCCTTGCAAGGCGAGCCAGTCCCAGGATGTGGCCCGAAGAAGGGAATTGTAAAGACTCTTTTCGGAGTCCTCTCGACCTGAAAAACCCGGGAAAGGGTTTGCCACACAATGCACGGGAGAAGGGAAGGGACGGGGCGCGGGACCTCTCGCGGCGGAGAGGCGAAGGCAGGCGGTAGCCATAGCTACAGCCGAGCGAGGAAGAGCGACCGAGAAGATGTGGTGGGAGGGGGCTCGCTATCCGAGGAGCCCAGGAGACCTAGATATGCCTGGATAGCTCAGTGGTTGAGGCATTCGACTGCCGAGCCGGAGGTTGCGAGTT